GCAGGAAATAACAGCATCAATGTCCTCGAGAACGGGAACGAGAAGCACTCCTCATCCTCTTCTGCGGGACAACCTCTGCACCATCATCATCATTTGAGTCAGAGCTATCATCCTCAGGATCCCCCTCAGCCTCACCTCTGTTCCCCGAACCAAAATCGGAGCCCCCCTCCTCAGCAGATGTTTCTGATTGACGATCGGTAGCCTCCTCCTCCTCCTCCTCAGCATCCTCCTCCTCCTCATCAGGCTCCACCTCTACAACGTGAGTCCTGCGTCTGCGGACAGACCCTCCCCGAGCTCCTCGAAAAGGCCTAGATGGCCCAGCTCCTCAGGAAGGCCGGGATGGCCCCGCCCCCTGAAAAGGCCCGGGTGACCCAACTCCCTGAAAAGGCCCAGATGGCCCAGCTCCCCAAGGAGGCCCAGGTGGCCTGGCCTGCGGCTGACCGGACCATGAAGGCATCTGAAAACAAAGAGTTCAATTCAAATACATCAGTCCAAATATATACATCAAATGCAGTTACAAGCAAAGGCTACGTGAAGTGGGTGCATGTAAATATTGTGTGCAAGCGGGGTGTGTGTCAGATGTGCTCTACACAAGTAGTCTATCGATGCAGTAGAAATCAGCATGTCATCAGAAGTATGATAAATGCCAGAAAACTGAAGGGTACCTGAATGCCAGCGACAGACAACTGTGCCTCCCTACGCAGGACCATGCCCTCGAGTGTGGCCACCAGTCCAACCACCTCTTCCATGTACCCTCGCGGTGGCTGCAAATATGAGCTCATAATCATCAGTGAACAAAAATGTCTAAACGTCTCAATGATGAATGAAAAAAAAAAACAGTGGAGCATACCAGCGGTGAGTCAGGATCAATGGCGTATCGATCACTGGGCATCGGAGGCTCTAGCGGGATCGGGGTCGGAGAGATAGCTCCATACTGCCACGCCATCAACTCAGTAGGCATATCTGGCCATCCAGGATGAGGATAAGACCAAAACGGAGCTGGGGCAAGATCACCTCAGAGCATTCAGACTCCATCAAAACCTGAAAATCTTCGAAAGTGGGACACATCTCTTGGCCGCCAAAGCTAAAAACGTGCGTCACTGGATTCCAGAACCTTGCCGCGGCAGGGAGAAAAGGGAGCTGTAGCGGAGTACGACTCAGCGTGAATAGTGCATTCAAGCCGAAACCCCAGAAATTCAGCTTTTCCGAGCCATCTAGAGAAGAGATCCAAGATGTGACATTTTCTGCGAGAAACGCCTCCATCTTTGTCTAAAACTAAGA